AAACTACCCTAAAATTGGGTAATTTTTTTTCCACCACATGAAAGAGTCTATAGAGATACATAATCGCTCCATACATGCCGAATACCTGCGAGGTTGCCAAGTCGGTCAAAATCGAGGTTGAATTTCAAACGTTGTTTGCTCTCAGTGTTGCCAGTCGATCGTGCTATTTTTTCCATTGGGTATCTTGAAAAGTTAAAATTAAAATAATTGCATCGAAAAAAATTCAAAATTCGACAAAAAATGTTTCCCCAAAAATCTCATAAAGTATCAAAAATTTTCAAGATTTTTTTTCACCTGGCAATACCTCAGCTACTTGCCTAAAAATTGTTTCCCCGGAAGTAGTCTGACAAATGTCGCCAAGTGCGTCAAAATCGGATCGATGCGGTGACGATACCCAATTTTCCGGATAAAACGGCTGCTGGTTTGGCCGCCATCTTGAATTTTGAAAATCCGGCTCCGTACCGGTGTGGCCAACTCGATAGCGCTTCCCATGCAGTTTTAACCATTTTTCTAGTGGCAATATCGACTGCGCTAGAGTCGAGAAAGTAAAAAATGGGCGAAATTTTTCAAAGCGCCGCAACCACCAGGGTTGCCAGGTCATGACGATGAAAATGGCCAAATGTCATTTCGGGGAGTGCCCTCCGTCGACGAAAAGTATTTTTGAAATCCCGAAACGGCTCCTTCTACTTTTCATCTTTTTGGGGTAAATCTCCGAAACTACCCTAAAATCGGGGAAAATTTTCACCTCATAGGAAAGAGCCGGCGGAGACTCACGACCGGTCCATACCAGTCGAAGAGATCCGATGTTGCCATGTAGGCTAAAAGTGCGTTTGAATTTTTCGAAAAAGTGAAAAAATCACAAAATGGCCGCTGCCGGCGCCGCCATATTGATTTTCCCGAGTTTCATAATTTTCCCATAGTCACGACTATATCTGGCAAGGGACCTCATTCACAGATTTTCTCCGCTGGCCACCCAGGTTCCCAAACAATTCGGGTTATGAGGGCATGTCGAAAAACACGTTTTCTACCGTGGAGCCCAGGGTTGTCAGCTCGAGGAAACGAAAACTACCAAAAGTCATAGGGCTCCCCCGGCGCCACACCGCGTCGAGTCTGTTTTCCGCGAAAAGTGCGTATTTCGAAATTTCACTTTTCTCCCAAAATCTCCTAAACTACCACGAAAATGGTAGAAATTATTACCAACTTAAAAAGTTAGCAGCGAGCCCCACGACCACCCCATACGACGCGAACCCGTCCGACGCCGTCATCTTGGAGAAAATCTCACTGGAAAATGGCGATTTTTCACTGCCGAAACAAAATGGCCGCCCCCGCCGCGGCCATGTTGACGCGCAAATGAAAACTCCCCGTACGTAAAAATCGACTATAATTCCAAGTCGCCGGCGTAAAAATCCCCTCTCCAAACCCACAGAAAAACAATTGACGATCGCCCGAACAGAGGTCGAAAAATGACAATTTTCGAGGTAAAATATCTCGGCCGCCATTTTGTTTTTTTAATCAAACCTTTTTTCATTGCCATTTTTTTAGCCCACTCTACGACCATTTTGAATATCGTAATCATAGAGTGTATAATGTAGAAATTAAAAAAATTATCTCGCCGCCATTTTGTTTTTTGGCTGAACCGATATGCCATTTCAACTCATTTTAAAAAAATATTATCAGTCTCCATACATGAAAATGTCATTTTCCCCCTCTTTCTACCCGAAAAAAGCATGGAGTGAGTGAGTGAGTCAGTCAGTCAGTGGTAATTAAGCTTTATATATTATAGACTAGCTTTCGCTTGGTTGCCCCGGGCTGCGAGCAGCCCGGGGAGGTCACGAGTAGCTAGTGGAATCGGGGCGGTGGGGTTTCAAGTCCGCCTATTGTTATGTCGGATTTACAGTATGAAATTGCCTAGAAAAGGTCAGTAAGTTCTATCTTCAAATAAAAGGTGTTAAAGGACACAAAGCACCATACATCAAAGAAAAAGTGTTGCCAGTTGACACTTAATAGAAAAGGAAATATTCAGTCGAAAAACGCAAGCAAAACTTTAAATAAATTTTGTATAGATACTTAAAATAAGTTTTCTCTTTTATTCTCTTATTCTAATTTATTAGTAAATTACTGTATAATATTAAAAAACAATCGAACATATATTTCCATCAGTGTTACTATCATTAATTAATCAATTAAATGTCAAGAAATAGTATTTATTGTATTTGCATTATTATTACATTACATTATTTATGTAAGATTTATTGATTATATGAAAAGGGAACCGATGTCGTGCCCAGATATTAGAATAGATCAATTCACGATGCGATGGGGTTTTAAGTCCGCCTTCGTTTCAGAATAGAAGCTTTCGCTTGGTTGCCCCGGGCTGCGTGCAGCCCAGGCAAGTCACGAGTAGCTGGTGGAATCGGGGCGGTGGGGTTTTAAATCCGCCTTCGTTGTGGTTCATCAAAGAAAAAGGGTTGCCAGTTTACGCTTAACAGAAAAAGAAATATTCAGTCGAAAAACGCAAGCAAAACTCTAAATAAATTATAGTCTCTTATTCTTATTCAATAGTAAGTTTATATTTAATAAAATATGAAAATGGATCGAATAGATATTTCCCCCAGTGTTACCTTAAATAATACACCAAATAAATAAATGTCAAATTTCAAACTCATACCTACGTAGAACACTTTCATTTTGAATATCAAAAGGACATGTTTTCTCAATAATCTAAAAGTATAGAGAAATATATTTTATTTCTTTTCTCCATACTTACCTATGTGAAAGTGTGGGTAAAGATACCTACACAAATGGGTCCATATATACACGCTATAAAGATCCCGAATTGTCAAGTCCATCAAAATCAAAATTGAAATTAAAATGGTCACGATCATCTTTTAAACATTATAAACCAAATGTTACCATCAACAAAAGCGATTCGTTTCTGGCACTTTGCCGGCCGCTGCCGCGGCACGCTCGCTACGCTCGCTCGGCTCGTGCGTTGTTTTTCATACACTAACCTAACCTAACCCATACGACATAATAAACCTACACAAGTTTTTGTTGCTTTACTTATTGTAAAATTCTTGAGCATAAACGAGTCGCTTGTGGAATCGGAGCGGTGGGATTTGAGGTCCGCCTCTAGTTATGTTTACAGTTTGAAATTGCCTAGAAAAAGTTAGTGAGTTCTATCTTCAAATAAATTATGTTTAAGTACACAAAGCACCATACGTCAAAGAAAAAGGGTTGCCGGTTTACACTGAATAGAAAAAGAAACATTCAGTTAATAAACGCAAGAGAAACTAAAATAAAATTTGGAATAGATCGGCTTGTAGTCATTTATTCTCTTATTCTTATTCAAAAGTAAGTTAATATTTAGTAAATACAGATATTGGAGTTTTAAGACCGCCTCTTGTTATGTTGGGTTTACAGTATAAAATTGCCTAGAAAAAGTAAGTAAGTTCTATCTTCAAATAAAATATCTTTAATTACGCAAAACATCTTACACAATAAAAAAGATTGCCAGTTTACACGCAATATTAAAAGAAATATTCAGTTGAAAAACGTAAGAAAACTTAAAAATAAATGTTGTATACATCGCCTTGTAGTCTTTTATTCTTATTCAATAGAAAATTTCCTAAAAATCACAGTATCAAAAAAAAACTGTTTTTTATCATCCGGCAACTAATCTGAAAAATGTTATGAATAACGCCAAAATCAGCTCTATAAAGTAAAAACCGTGAAAAATGATATGTTTTCTAGATAAAATGGTCGCTGTCTTAGCCGCCATCTAGAATTTTAAAATTTCAGCCTCAGACCTAAATAGCACACTTGTAAGCACATTTGGTCACAGTTCCTTATCCGATTGACCAGGTCTCCATTTATTATGGCTCGCTTCGCTCGCTTTTTCTTTTTGTTTTTTTCTCAGTTCTAATCTAACCGATTGACCAGGTCTCTATTGATGGTGTCTTTTGTGGCTCGCTTCGCTCGCATTTTATTTTATTCATAGTTCTAACCCTACCAATTAACCAAATCTCTCTTAACAGTTACTCCTTATGGCTCGCTTCGCTCGCTTTTTGTTTTAGACACAGTGCTAACATAATCAATTATGGCTCGCTTCGCTCGCTCTTTATTTTGGTAACAGTACCTTAAGCAATTGACCAGGTCTCCATTTATTATGGCTCGCTTCGCTCGCTTTTTGTTTTATTGACAGTTCTAATCTAACTGATTGATCAGATTTCTATTGGTGGTGTTGTTTATGGCTCGCTTCGCTCGCATTTTATTTTAGTCACAGTTCTAACCTTACCAATTAATCAAATCTCTCTAAATGGTTACTCTTTATGGCTCGCTTCGCTCGCTTTTTGTTTAATTCACAGTTCTCATCTAACTGATTGATCAGATTTCTATTGGTGGTGTTGTTTATGGCTCGCTTCGCTCGCATTTTATTTTAGTCACCGTTCTAACCTTACCAATTAATCAAATCTCTCTAATTGGTCACTCTTTATGGCTCGCTTCGCTCGCTTTTTGTTTTAGTCACAGTTCTAATCTAACCGAATGACAATGTCTCGCTCGCTTTATTTTTCTTGTGAAACTATTGGATTTTTTCTTCTCACCACGTTAAGATTGAGTCTTGAGTCTATGGCTAACGGTCTATATATGCAAAGCTTCCGAGTCGCCAGCTCAGTCAGAATCATTCTGAAATTAATATGGTGACTACTATCAGTGTTGCTAGTCGATCACTCAAATTATTCCATCAATTATGTTATAAATGCAACAGTAAAAATTTTACTCAACAGTAAAATCATTGTAAAAAAATATTTTAATATTTTTCATCAATGACATACATGAAAGTTTCGCAAAAATCTCGGTATCAAAAATTTTACAGTCTTTTTTTCATCTGGCAACACTTCAGCTGAATACATATTTTTGTCAAAAGTATTCTTAAAAATGTTACCAAAAACGCCAAAATCAGCTCTATAGAGTGAAAGTCGTGAAAAAAGATCAATTTTCTAGATAAAATGGTCGCTATTTAATCCGCCATCTTGAATTTTGAAATTTCAATCTCATACTTATGTAGCACACCTATTGGCGCATCCAACGCAGTTTTTACTATTTTCCTAGCGGCTATAATGACTGCGCTAGAGTCCAAAACGTGAATAGTGGGCATTGAACTTTCAAACCGCCGTAGCTGCCGGGGTTGCCAGGTGTAGGCGATGAAAATAGTCAAATGTCATTTCGGGGTGCGCCCTCCATCGACCGATACCAGTTTTCAAGTTCTAAAATTATTTCTTTGACAGTTAGAGTTTTTGGGGTAAATCTCAAAAACTTCCCTAAAATCGGGTAATTTTTTTCCACCATATGAAAGAGTCTATAGAGATGCACAATCGCTCCATACATGCCAAATACCTTCGGGGTTGCCAAGTTGGTCAAAATAGAGGTTGAATTTCAAACGTTGTTTGCTCTCAGTGTTGCCAGTCGATCATTCTATTTTTTCCATCAGGTATCTTGAAAAGTTAAAATTAAAATATTTGCATTGAAAAAAATTCAAAATTCGACAAAAAGTGTTTCCTCAAAAATCTCATAAAGTATCAAAAATTTTCGAGTTTTTTTTTCACCTGGCAACACTTTAGTTACTTGCCCAAAAAATGTTTCCCCGGAAGTAGTCTGACATATGTCGCCAAGTGCGTCAAAATCGGCTCGACGTGGTGACGATACCCAATTTTTCGGATAAAACGGCCGCTGGTTTGGCCGCCATCTTGAATTTTGAAAATCCGGCTCCGTACCGGTGTGGCCAACTCGATAGCGCATCCGATGCAGTTTATACCATTTTCCTAGTGGCAATACCGACTGCGCTAGAGTCAACAAAGTAAAAAATGGGCAAAATTTTTCAAATCGCCCCATACATCAGGGTTGCCAGGTGTCGACGATGAAAATGTCCAAATGTCATTTTGGGGAGTGCCCTCCGTCGAGGAAATTCATTTTTGAAATTCCCAAACGGCTCCTTCTACTTTTCACCTTTTTGGGGTAAATCTCCGAAATTACCCTAAAATCGGGGAAAATTTTCACCTCATAGGAAAGAGCCGGCGGAGACTCACGACCAGTCCATACCAGGCGAAGAGCTACAATGTTGCCATGTGTGCTAAAAGTGCGTTTGAATTTTTCGAAAAAGTGAAAAAATCACAAAATGGCCGCTGCCGGCGCCGCCATATTGATTTTCCCGAGTTTCACAATTTTCCCATAGTCACGACTATATTTGGCGCGACACCTCATGCACAGATTTTCTCCACTGGCCACCCAGGTTCCCAAACAATTCGGGTTATGAGGGCATGTCGAAAAACACGTTTTCTACCGTGGAGCCCAGGGTTGTCAGCTCGCGGAAACAAAAACTACCAAAAGTCATAGGGCTCCCCCGGCACCACACCGCACCGAGTCTGTTTTCCGCGAAAAGTGCGTATTTCGAAATTTCACTTTTCTCCCAAAATCTCATAAACTACCACGTAAATGGTAGAAATCGGTAGTAAAGTAGAAAGAGCCCACCGAGCCCCACGACCGGCCCATAGAACGCGAACCCGTCCGACGCCGCCATCTTGGAGAAAATCTCACTGGAAAATGGCGATTTTTCATTGCCGAAACAAAATGGCCGCCCCCGCCGCCGCCATGTTGACGCGCAAATGAAAACTCCCCGTACGTAAAAATCGACTATAATTCCGAGTCGCCGGCGTAAAAATCCCCCCTCCAAACCCACAGAAAAACAATTGACGATTGCCCGAACAGAGGTCGAAAAATGTCAATTTTCGAGGTAAAATATCTCGGCCGCCATTTTGTTTTTTTAATCAAATCCTTTTTCATTGCCATTTTTTTAGCCCACTCTACGACCATTTTGAATATCGTAATCATAGAGTGTATAATGAAGAAATTAAAAAAATTATCTCGCCGCCATTTTGTTTTTTGGCTTTACCGATATGCCATTTCAACTCATTTTAAAAAAATATTATCAGTTTCCATACATGAAAATATCATTGACCACCTCCTTCTACCCGAAAAAAGCATGGAGTGAGTCAGTGAGTCAGTGAGTGGTAATTAAGCTTTATATATTATAGATATATATATTATTATTTATATAATGTTTGAACCGTTATGTATTTTTATTTTCTCTCTTTCCCGGTATTTGAATTTGTTTTTTTATTCCATATTAATTTATTTAGGAGGTACACACTGACTACCTTATTGTATTTCTTTTTCCTGTTTTGGGCCTGCTGGTAGAAATTTCAATTTGAAATAAGCAGTGCCCTTATACTAATGTCTGTTACATTTGTTCATATGAAATTGTATGTGTGTACAAAATAAATAAATAAATAAATAGATAATCCAACATTTTGTGGCGGCGGCCATCTTGTATATAAAATTTTGTCATAGTAAACAGTATTCTACTACTCAAGCCCTTTTATTTAATGTCCGTATTGAGGGAGTCGTGAAAAATATGTAGGTAATCCAACATTTTTGGTGGCGGCCATCTTGGATTTGAAATTTGTCATAGTGTTCAGTATTCTACTACTCAAGCCCTCTTATTTGATACCCATATTGATGGAATGGTGATAAAATATGTGATCCGACATTTTGTGGCGGCGGCCATCTTGTATCGATTTTCATCAAAGTGAAGAACACTCCTGACTAATACACCTTTTAAACTAGATCAAAATGGGTTCATCCGTTCGGGAACTATGATGCCACAAAAAGACACAAACACACCACACACACACACACAGAGACATGTCAAACTTATAACACCGCGTCGTTTTTGCGTCCGGGATTAAAAATATATTGAATTTAGAAAAAGTTGTTTCATATGCGGATCTCCGATAAATTTGATATCGGTCGAATTGCATCGAGCCATAAGTCTAAGTTAATCCTCATTACGTAAATCAACTTCTAGTGAAAGTCTCTTCAAAATCGGCCAAGCCGTTTCAGAGATTAGCCAGAACTAACAGACAGACAGATAAAATATATTATTTTTGTATATGTACCATGTATACACACAAATGTATTTAGTGAAAAGCAGTTATTTTAATATTACAAATATGCACTCCAATTTTATGTACTAGTATAAGTGTATTGAGAGAAGAAGTACCTTGCTTTATTTGCATTTCATAATATAAATATATATTTTAACTTTCTAATACAAATATACCTAGGGGTCTTTCGACCTATGCTGAAAATAACAAATGTGTATTAGAAATAATTCAATAAGCTATATAAATTCCATATAAATCGTACTTCGTGACCAAAGTTGGAAGTCCCACTATACTGCTCTATTTACGCTCGCTCGAACGTATCTAGATCGAAAAATGGCGCGAAGAAATGCGACACAGGTCTAACGTTGAGGAGCGCTCGCGCGGTACTGAGCTCAGACGGCCGCTGCATCTTATTTTGTAGGGATTTTGCGTTTACATTTATCGTATTTATTGAAATAATATAATAAATTTATGCTTTAAAATTATAATAACTTTGTTCCTTATGAAATAGTCATTAATCTGGCATAAATTTTGTTAAATAATATTGTTGTGGCTAAGAGAAATTCAAAGTTAACTTCAAGCAATTTTTGATGTTTTTTGGTTTGTAATATAATTGTTTTTCTATATTTAATCAGTGCTATTTCAAAATTTCGAGCTACTGTTTACTTTACGACTATATAAGAGATATCATTCTATTTCTTTTATTTCATTTGTTAAGAACAGTAGCTCAATCCAGGACTTCAAAAAAGTGTCTTTGCGCATTTTATGAAAAACTTTCTCTGGTATTTTGGATTTAATTAAAAAGATGAGCAAAATTTCCAAAAAGTTGAGCCACTAATTTCTATACCAAGAGTTATTCTTCACTATTCAACAAGTCAAAATTGTTAATTTGTTTTTGTTTCCGAGAAAAATCACGCAGAAATCACAGTTGCGATGTAATATGGCTCTTAACACTGGAATTTGATATTGAAACGTGTATTAAGATTTTTAGTTTTACAGTTGTGTTAGGGTTACCTCTAGGGGCTTTCCAACAGGATAAATAATTTCCGAACTGCCACTAGTGCACTCTGATTCTGTAGATGGACTCACGACAGTAATGGTCGGCTTCTCTATGTCTTTATCGGGTGATATACTTTTCGATAGGCGTCTCCTAGCTGTAAATCATCAAAAGATTTAACAATGTCATCTCCTCAAAAATACTCGTAGAAGAATATTTTGAAGAACTATTTGTACTATGCGTACCCATCTAAAGCTGGGCATTTGTTTGAGAGTCGAAGCGTGTATTAACGTTATACATATATAAGTTTGTAGTATGTTCAAAAAAGCCCGCTTTTTTTAATTCTTTTATTCTGTATTATCGCAGTTTTTTCAACGAAACTTTTTATTTTATATCTATATCATAACAGCACAATAAATCACTAGGCCGCCATTTTGGCCGTCCGTCACATTAGATTTAAAACCTAACCATTATCATCTAAAATGATGCGCCTGTAAAATGAAAATTGAGAGTGCCTCTGCCTCTCGACTACTGCTCAAACGAGGAGACTCGAAATAAATACAATAGCCTTCTGTTTTTCTTTTAGTCCAAGCGAGCGAATCAAGGATAAATAGTTTGTTATATTTGAATGGGCTTCACTGAGTTTTACACTTACCTTGGGTTATAATACTCTCATTACTCTTTCTTCTGTCTTTATCAGTGTCGGTTGGTGTATTAAATGCGACTATAGCTGGCTTATTCTTCATATATCTAAAACTATGCGCTAACGCTTTATTCCGGGGACTTTTGTAGGCCACAGCACGTGCCGAATGCATCGATATCACATCGAATCTATTTTCTGACTCGGACCGCATCATATTGCGAAGCCTGAAGAGAGAAAATCAAACAGTTATATTTGCTTCTACGAAAAAGCTAAAGTAAGTAAGTAAAACGCATCAGTTTCTACTCGTGACACTCAGGCTTATTCTGTAACAGTGTTATTAATAAAGAGGGTTTAGCGTTAGAGTAAATTTACGCTAAAATTGCAATGTTATTATAAGTCCCCATTCATATTATAATAAGCAAACGTAATACCTAATAAGAGTAAACATTACTCCCGTAGAACCTCGTACTAGGTTAATCTTTACTAAGTTTCTGTTTAACTTTGACTTTAGGTAGATAATTCAATGGTAAAATGTAAATCAAAAAATGCAGAGATTCTATTGAGATGCTATTATAACTTAAACATTAGCAGAATTAGCCAGCAAGCTACTGGCAAATTGTAAATTAGATTGCAGTGTCGTGTCATGATTATACCATTAAAACTTCGTACTAGGTAACAATACTGACCGTACCAACGAGTTATTATATATATTTTCCGATATTAGTTAACAGAAATATTATTACAATACTTAATACAATCGATTTTTAATATTTAGTTTCCACCAAGATAAACGTATGTTTAAGATTATCAGTTACAATGATAGAAATTTTATATAGTCTTAATCCCGTCCCCAAATCAATTAAGTCTTCTCTGATTTTACTTTTAAAATTAATCAATACATTATTAAAATACGGGAATATAATTATGATAAATTAATAATAATCAAATGTATAATATTAAATAAGCTTAATTACTCGTTCAATCTTTGCCACTTCTTTTGGGAGGTCATCACGTCTGGCATTGATGCAGACTTGTTTTTCAGACGCTGTGCTGTTAATAATGAAACGCTGCGGATGACCGGTGATATTTCTGAAATAAATTTAATCCTTATGCTATAAGATTTACGAGGCATTAAAAACACCAAAGAATCCAACAGTGAAGCATTATCAGAGCAGGTAAGTTAGGTAATATCCTAACATGGGAACTGTAACTAAACAAATTTAATTTCAAAGAGAACACAATTAGGATCAGATAGATATTAATAACCTATCAGGCAATGTAATGAGGTTTCTGACTTACTTCGTAACTCATTGGTATTGCTGTATGAAGCTGGTGAAAAGTCGACATTTTTGTCCTTATTTCCAGTCACACTCTTGCGTTTACTCCTAGTGCTTTGATTAGAATTGGTCCTTGCGATTTTTCTGATAAAGAAATTATAATTATTGGTAAATTATGTATCGTAAAAGTAACAAAATATATTATTATAATCATCTTCTCAAATCAAATTGATGAGTATATCCCGTCATTGGAAGTTTCCCGAAATACCTCAATTTGGTAGCTGGAAGTTTTTGGAGATGGGTGAAAATATTTGTTACTTTTATACAAGTGAATATAAATTTATTATTGAATTATTTATTTTATTATTATTTACTTATTTTATATTTACCTATATCTTTAAAAAAGTCCAGCTACTAAATTACACCACCGATGAAGGGATCTATTTATGTTTAAACATGACAAACATTATATTACATTAAAGTAATTTCTTCTGTTAAGATTTGGTACTAATCTAAATGTAAGTTCTTTATTTATTATCAATAAACATAAAATAACAGGTACCCTGAGGTGGAATTCGAACCCACGACCTTCCTTCCGCAATCCGAACGATTTCTCTAACCACTGATTTGACAATTAATATTTGAATGGGTTGCCTTAAAAGTACGCTCACTAGTTGCGAAAAAAGTAACACCTGTTTGAAAAATTCGCCAGTCCTCTTGATCTCAGTGGTCAGAGCAGTCGCTCGGATTGCGAAAGGCCGTGGGATTGAGTCCCACCTCGGGGTACATGTGGTTGGTGGATTTATTCAGCATTTTTCATTAAAAATATTTAGCAGTATAGCCATGTAAATACAAAATTGATCAAATATAATAATAAAATGAAAGCTTAAGATAATCTCTTAAAACCACGGAGGTTTGAGTTGTGTTATTAAAGTAAGGGTATAATTATTTTAACCGAATACGTAAGTAGTGAATTTGAGATATACTCATGGTCTGCAGGCGATGTATCCACAGCATGAAGTCTTGCGTGTTCCTCCTCAAAATATTCATATAATCTGTTGGTCCACTGTCCAACGCCTCTTATATGCAGCCATATATAATCTGCAATGAACAAGTTAGATTCATCTATACTAATATAATACTATGTCTATAATACTATGGTAGCTCGGTGGCGTAGTGGATAAGCGCCGCGGCCCGCGATCGTAGTCGTTAAGCAACTTTCGCTAGGGTCGGTCACGGGATGGGTGACCAAAAAATTATTATCTCGAGCTACTTCGTGCTTCGGAAGGCACGTTAAGCCGTTGGTCCCGGCTGCGTTTGCAGTCGTTAATACCCTCCAATCAGCATTGGGCCAGCGTGGAGGGTCATGGCCCATCCTCCTTAACCATCCATAAGGAAGGCCTGAGCCCCTGCAGTGGGGACGCTGGTGGTGGTGGTGGATACTAATATAATAAAGAGGAAAACTTTGTGTATGTTTGTTTGTAATGAATAGGCTCAAAAACTACTGGATCGATTTTAAAAATTCTTTCACCGTTCGAAAGCTGCATTATAAACAAGTAACATAGACTATATTTTATTTTGAAAAAAAAAAGTTCCGTAAGATGTTTGGGTTTTTCGGACACAAGGTGTAAAAAATAAACCAGAAAAGTTAGGGTAAGGAGGGGAAATGGCGTTCACTTAAGAAAAACATGATGTATTTTTTAAATTATTTATCTTAAATCAAAATTACGAAAAGAAGTATAATCTTTAACTATCAAGTAATCAACAACTTAACAACAAAAGCATATATCTTTGCCTTATTAATAGTAGGAACACATTAAAAATAAAACATGTTTGAGCGGCATTGCACCTGACTTTGGGTAATACCGCTCGGGGTACGGGGGAATGACGCTCAAAGATGTTTTTTTGGAATGTAACAATAATATATATTTTAATTGAATAAATATAATGAGATCCACCATAAAAAGTAAAAGTAAATTCTACAATCACAAATTTGCATCAATTATACCTATTTGTACGTAAGATTAGCCTTTTGTAAATTAACAATTAAGTATAGATAAGTTTTTTGGCAAATCAACTTTAACTATCATAATAAAATATAACATAATTATTGGTCACCAGAGTAGAAATAGAAATATTTTACTTTTGAATACATAAATCACAGACATATTCATCTGGCGTATCCCACCCTGAACATATAGCATGAGCCCACAGACCGCAGGTGGTGCAGCGATACCATAACTCGTTATTTTTTCCAAATTCTTCGCAAATGATACATTTGTTATAATCTTCATTATCCACATTCATTTCGTCATCACTGTCATCATCGCAAAGGTGCTCTTCATCTTCAGTCTCTGAAGAACTTTCTTGTAAAATTTTTCTCTTGTACGATTTTTGTTTCATTTGTTTGTTCTTCTTTCCTTCGACAACGGGTTTTGGTCTTGATTTATCATCTTTTCTAGTCTTATTGAGTTTCGCAATTTTTTTCTTTTCTTTATTCTCTAAAATAATTTTCATAGGAGTCGCAGTTAATATAGTAGCATGTTGCTTTCGCTTTCTATGACCTGGTTTAGAAGATGATGCAAATACAGGCGTTGCTGCTATAGCAGCAAAGGATATCGGAGTGCGTTGCTCATCAACAAGTTCTTGGGTTGATGGTCCTGCCACAGGAGATATATGTCCTAAAATTATGTTCGTAGCATCAGATTGTGCATCTTCTGCACATTTGGGTCCAGAAGAATTCTGGATATTTGGGTCTTGATTTTCCAGGGATTGTTCAGATTCTTGTGCCATTAAAGACGCTGCAAGAAAATCTTGATCTGTGAAAACATTTGGGTTCAATGGATAAATTCCCGTGGCTCGAAATCCAGATTCTGCTTTACTTATATTCGCAACTTATACGTATGCTTTGTTGAAAAGATTTGCAACATCGTATAGAGTTATTTTAGACAATAGATGTGTCTTCATATGTCTGTTACATTCGTCTCTATAAGCAGCTTTCAGCGGCTTATGAAAAGACACGTCCAGCGGCTGTGTTCTATGAGAGCTGTGTGGTGGAATAGAAAGCATTATAATGTGGTTTTCTTTGCAAAAATTAAAACCCCGAAGGGAAATGTGACCTGTGATTGTCCAGAATTAACAACACAGGTGATTCTTGAGTAGGCTTTGCAAAAGCTGCAAAATGTTTTAGCCAAGTAATAAATAAATCTTCGTTTATCCAGCCATTTTTTGAGTTTGTATATAATGCACCAGCTGGTCCATCTTTTTCTAATAAGGGCGTCATTCTCTGTCTAGGAAAAATAAACATGGGCGGTATGAAATTTCCGGCTGCGCTCATCGCACACATAACTGTTATGTTGCTTCCTCGTTCGCCGCTTGTGACAGATCCAACTCTTCTTTGTCCTTTTTCGGCGAGCACTTTTCCTGGGTCTGTCACCGTGGTAATACCTGTTTCATCACAATTATACATGTTGCTGGGAATAAACTTATATTTTTCCATTAATTCGCCAAGTTTATTGTAGAAATGTCTGCTTCTATGGACGGAAGCATCAAAACTCATACTTTAAATACTCTTTCTTCTATGCCAACACCGTCATTTGCTCCTTTTGTCATTGAACCATTTACCGAGTGTGACATTGAGAAGAATATACTTGCTATATTGTCCAATGCGATCGGTAGCGATTGCATTAGTCGTAATATGATAATTCCTCTTCTAGATATCCTAACTCCTGTAATTACCAACATCCTCAACAAATCTATCTTGACGTCTTTTTACCCCTCTGCATGGAAGGATGCAAATATAGTGCCTGTGCCTAAGAAACCTAAGCCTGATTGCTTTTCCGATTACCGGCCTATATCCATATTGCCTTTCCTTTCCAAAGTCCTTGAAAAGCTAGTTTATCAACAGTTTAGTAAATTCCTTTCCTTGAACAACCTTCTGAATCCATTTCAATCTGGTTTCCGTCCCGGTCATAGTACGACTACTGCACTTGTCAAGATTGCTGATGATATTCGCACAGGAATGGAAAATCGGCAGCTCACCATACTGACGTTGTTAGATTTCACTAATGCATTCAACACTGTTGATTTCGAAATTTTGCTAGCAACGCTGGTTTCTCTCAATGTATCTCCACAGGTGATTGGTTGGTTTCGTAGTTACCTGTATGGGCGACGGCAACGCATATGTGTAGGAGATATTCTCTCAGATTGGTGCGTTACAACAGCCGGAGTTCCACAGGGTGGCGTTTTGTCTCCGCTTCTATTCTCTATTTTCATTAATTCAATAGCCCTCCCTCTATCTTCTTCCTATCACATGTATGCAGATGATTTCCAAATTTATAGCCAATGTGCGTTGGAAGAAATACCCACTGCAATTACCATTATTAACAATGATCTTGAACATATATCTGATTGGAGTCGGCGTCATGGTCTGTTAGTCAATCCTCTAAAATCTCAAGCGATCATCATTGGAAGTCATTGGTATCAGGCTAGGTTAAATTATGATACACTGCCATCTATCTTAATAAACGGCAATCGTATACCTTTCACTCAGTCTGTAAAAAATCTTGGTGTCATATTTGATTGCAATATGTCTTGGAGCCTTCATGTCCGAGAGGTTAGTAGGAGGGTATTTGGTGCATATAGCTCACTTAAGCGACTTAGGAATCTTTTGCCGACTAAGACTAAAATCACTCTTGCTCAGTCACTTCTTCTCCCTTTGCTTGACTACGCTGATTCATGTTATACAGACCTAAGTGTCGTTTTCCTAAATAAACTTGAGCGACTGCAGAATTTGTGTATCCGTTTTGTCTTTGGTCTACGTAAGTATGATCATATTTCTGATTATCGTACCCAACTTCAGTGGCTACCTATCTCTCGTAGAAGAGACTGTCATATCCTATCACTCCTATATTCCATCCTGTTTCACCCACACACACCGCTTTACCTCAAAGAGCGCTTCGTCTTTCACTCTACGAATCTTACCCGAGATCTGCGGTCTTCCTATAATTTATCTTTAGTCATGCCTTCCCACAATACTGATTTCGTAGCCAAGTCATTTACAGTTAAAGCAATCAAACTATGGAACTCTCTGCCTATAGATATCAGACGCGCGCAATCACGGAACTCATTCAATAAATTGATAAAAGAATATTTCCTCAATCTGGACTATTCCTCTTGAACTTCCAATCTATTACTTTACTATCGTAAGTTTTATTTATATATTTGCACTTTATACGTTCTCGTGTGTTGTTTCCCCTATTGCACTAACCCGCAGTTAATTTTTCTTTATTGGTATCATTTCCTTTAGCCTAGGGTCGCCTGGTAGAGATTGCTACCTTAGCAATAAGGCCGCCTTTTGTGTTACTGAATCTAGTTTTATGTACCTTTCTTACTGTATTTCATAGTGCAATAAAGAATATTCAATCAATCAATCAATCAATCAAATGTGTTATTTCTTCTTTGTTGAAGGAAGAAATTCTGTTTAAGCTTGTCGCTTCAGCTTTGCGTATAGAAACTGAAGGATTGCGTCTCATAAAGGCATGTACCCAATCCAATCCAGCTGTTTTGCTGCTTTGATCAAAATTGTTTTTGATATTGTTAAGCTCAGCATATCTATAAACAAGTCTACGCAAATCTGCGACATTGAGCCCATAGTACAACGAACCCAGCAACTTAACTTGTTCAGCAATTTCAGCTTCCTGCTGTTGGGTGAAAACAGGCTTGCGACCGAGTCTTGGATTGCTTATGTTTCCATTATTTAGGCGATCTCTTAAAGTGGAAAATGGTATATTATATTGTTGAGCGGCTTTTCTTTTGGACATACCTCCTTCAATCGCAGTTTTAGCAAACTGAAGGTTTTCTTCGGTCCAAGCCGCTTTAGCGGTTGTCCTTGGACGATTTCTTGGCATATCTACAATAATAAAAAGATAAGTCACACAGGGGTAATGACGTTCAGGTGAGCGGTATAACCCCAAACTATAGTTTTGTAGTTAATTTGAATTTAAAGAAAAAATACACAGAAATATTAAAAACTGATTGCATTGTCATAAAATAGAATAGCTGTATTGTCAGAAAAGTAAAATTATAATTAAATAATCATAAAGTTTTGGACTCACCGACAAAAAACAGCTATACGAAAATTATATCAGCGAGGCCGCAAACAAAGAAACGCACTTCACTGGCAAATGACGTGAGCTGACTGCCCGTTTGCATTGCTGTTTGTTAGAGCCCCCCTCCCCCGCGCTTCACGCGATGCGGCGTGTTGCTACGGTCCATTATAACAGAGTTTTAAAGGTGAGCGCCATTACCCAGCGAGCGCCATTACCCCTAGTTACCCTACTTATGTTGCGTACGCTGCCTAAACTATAAAAGATAGAACCATAAAATGTTTTAATTCACTGTAGATCTTATAAATATCTACAAAAAAGTCCGTGACACCCTATATACCTATCAATGTCAAGTGAGGCACAACAATCATTTTTTTATTTAAAAATCTTGATCTTTTTGGACTACATTTAAACGCTTTTACTCACGCTATTAATCCTTATCAAAATGTTTATGTAGATACTATTTGGTCTTTGAATGATTAAAATTGGACGTTTGGCTTTGAAGTAATGGCGAAATTAAAATATTACGATTTCTGCTGCACGGCCCGTTGCGAAGTCACCAAGGCGGGGGTGCGCGTGCGGGAGGGGAGTTTTGATCTATGAGTAATTAATTACACATAAAAATCTTTCTTGCTGAGGTTATTTGATTAATTAATTATCTAATTAGATTCTAACCGAATTTCATATATTTTATTAAACACATCCTTTTTTATTTAACATGCTAATTTGGTCTGATTTTCCCAATAACCTTTAACGAGCAACTTTGGAAGTACCTGTTTGTTCCGGAGCGGAGCTGATGGTAAATGGATGCCACTCGGATGTGGCTATAGCTGGAACATTTATGAACACATAATCTCCAGCTCGGAACTCGAAGTGAGATGGTCTCTTGATCTCCAAATGTGTTACACGGGACGGCAGCAGCACACCAGAGGAGATGTAAGTCTTGCCACGTTTTGATCTGCAATGAGTTGATATTTAAATAAATAGCAAAAGGAATTGATAATATAATTTTATATTTAAAATGCGATAACACGCTTTAAAGATACAACATTGGAAAAAATTGTATCGGGTAGGATTCGAACATGCGTTTGCAATTTTACTTTTTTTATGAGAGTATAACAATATATTGTAGTATATGCATATATAATTAACTACTATTGAGATTTCGAATTGTCATTTAACTTTTTTTAAATCACAAATCGTAGAAAGATCTGATTGTTCAATTGATTTTGAGAAAACGCTTTACATTTGCATTTTTAAAGACTCTCAAGCTCTTTTGCCGTGATAACACTATAAAACAATAATCGCACATTCTGCACAAAGAATATGAATGGTTATTTTCTTAAACACAAACTAACCTCATCCATGCGAATCGCAGTATCTTTTCCACAACGTATATGGTACCTGGTACCACGAACCATTTCCAGAAATTCGGTCCATGGAAAATTAATAGCACCCAGAAAGGTCTATATAGGAGATGCGTCCAGTAGAATATCTATAAAATTATGATTTCTAAATTTATTATTATTCAAAATTATTTTCCTATTAATATCCCCACCGATGGGATGCAAACTGGAAGGCGAAAAAATATTAATTAAATTTAAAAATAAACAGAGATTTCATATTTTTTAAGAAATTATTATGTATTTTTTTCTTAATTATAGGTCCAGTGATTTAAGGGATCAGCTCAGGAAACAGTAAATTTACAAAACTATTATAGTATATCAATGTTATAAAATTAAGACTTTGATAATACCTTTTATTTAATATGTCACATAAAAGTTTCTAATTTACGGTACTAATAAAGTGTCAAATGAATTCTTCCTTTTTTGCAAAACCTAAATATTTGAAAAAATACTAGGTATTTTGTTAAGAACGGTCCATATTATACTACCTACCTCAAAACATCCCCCTCTCCTGACAGCGGGTTGGCTACACGCGCATATGATGGCGAGCAGCACGCACAGTGCCACGCCTGTGGGGTTGGCGCATCCTCCCACCAGACCAAAAAGACCAGGCTTACTGGTTAGCAACCACTCGGATAAAGTGTAGTTATTCGCGTTCAATTTCGGGTCGTTGACCACTATTATACCTGGGAAATAATTATGAAAGGGTATTCTTAATGAAATATGTTTAAAAATTCCACTTTGTCCCTATTACGAGGGTCAAACTGAAAGTTCTTAGAAAATCAAAAACTGATTACATTAGCCAGTTATTAGTTTTATTATATCTTTTCAAAATATTGTCCATTCACGTCAATACACCGCTGCATGCGATGGAACCACTGGGAAAAGCACTTTGCCCACTCGTCCTTAGGGGTCTCTTCAATGGTATCGCGATACGCAGCCACCGCTTCTTCAGCATTCATAAACCGCTTTCCTTTAAGTTTTTCTTTAATTTTTGGAAATAAATAAAAATCACAAGGCGCGAGGTCGGGGCTATACGGCGGGTGACCCAGTAATTCAACGTTTGATGTCGCCAAATAGTCGATCGTTCGCTTGGCGGTGTGCGACGAGGCGTTGTCGTGGTGAAGGAGGATCCTACTGCGAGGTCGTTTCTCTCGAACTTTTTCCAAGACAAGTGGCAAACAATTGGTAGTGTACCATTCTGCAGAAACTGTTTTTTGATCCTCTAACACAATTGTTGCAAAATGACCTATCCTTCCAAAGAACGAGGCCACCATTTTTTTTCCCGCACTTCGATCTCTCTTCACTTTAGTTGGCAACTCCTCGAAAGGAAACACCCACTGAGCAGATTGTCTTTTGGTTTTAGGATCATAACAGTAAATCCAGCTTTCGTCACCTGTTAGTATGTCGAACACAGCATTTGAGTGACCTCCGTTAAATCTTTCAATCATTTTACGACACCAATCCACACGATGGAGTTTTTGAGCCTCAGTCAAATTATGAGGTATCCACCGGGCGCAAAGCTTCCTGACCGCTAAATGTTCGTGGAGGATTTTGTGCACTTGACTCATACCGATGCCTAAGCTTGTCCGAATCTGTTGATAGGTCACTCTTTTGTCAGTCTCTATCATACGCCGCACAACACAGATGTTATCTTCAGTCGTCGCCGTAGAAGGCCGTCCCTCACGTAAATCATCAGTGAGATTAGTGCGACCACGTTTAAACTCATTAAACCAGTTGTAAACAGTCGCACGAGATGGGGCTTCATCGTGAAAGGCCAATCGTAGTCTATCATAACTTTCTTGTTGACTTAAATGACATCGAAAGTCATAAAAAATCATTGCACGAAAATTTTCTCGTTTTAAATTCATGATGACGTGACACAGACAATTTTCAATTTGCCGCCAAATCGTAAAATAAATGACAAATGAATGAAATATATACTCAGTAATATTGGCAAAGAGTTATATTTTCAAATTTTAGAATTATTTTTTTATTATATTGTTTATAAGTGGCCAGTTCTAAGAACTTTCAGTTTGACCCTCGTATAAATATTTTTCAGTATAGCATTATAAATGCAAAATTGATCAAATATTATAATCATGAAAGGGGTTAGAATATTTTAATTAGGAGTCTGGCTTTTCTACAGATCTTATCCCAAAAGTAAAATCCAACTAATATGACGTAAATATTGAAGCGCAAGCGTACGCAAACCAAGATGCATTCCGCATATAGACGCTTAAGAACTAAGACCATCTATCTACCCTTTAGGCGATTTTCACTTTTTAATGCAGTTCTTTTCATGGTTAATTTACGCATCGTTTCCTTTAATCGATTCCTTCAAATTCGTAATAAATAAGGAGTTATGAGAAAATACCTATAACACATAAGTTACGTGTCGTAATAATTGTATGGAAATACCACCTATCTACAGAGAATACGTAATTACTCGTTGTAAAATTTAATAAAACTAAGAGCTTTTTGGTTGATTAAAGTCTTTAATCTATATTATTTCGTTTTAAAGTCAAAGTCAAAATACTCTTTATTCAAATAGACTTCTTAAAAGTACTTTTGAATCATCCAACATTTTTTTTCCTACCACTCGTTCAGGACGTCTTTTGGCTGATTTAGTAATGACATTCACAAAACCGTGTCATTACCAGATCAATACATTATAAATAGAGAGAGAAAAAAATATTAGAGTCTTATAATGATAACATAATCATTTAATAATAATGGAAACAAGATACTTTTTGATATATAATGAGTTAAGAAGTAATCACCTATCCAGCCGCTGGATCATCTTAAGTCCAAGCATTCTTATCTGTTATATAATCGGATACCTTATAATAAGCTTTTTAATAAGTATTTTTTTAATAGTAGATTTAAACTGCATGATATCTAATTGTTGTATTTTGCTTGGGACCTTATTGTAGAAGCGCAAAGACTCCTGAATGAGTTATTAACTTTTTGCAATCTAGTGACAGGCACCGTTAATTTATTTTTATTTCTTGTATTAAAATTGTGTACATCACCTTTTTATAAAAAACAAACTAATAATTTTACGACCGTACATAAAGTTCTCGTATTTGTATTGAGAAGCAACAGTTATTATGTCCATTTCCTTAAATGTCTCCCTTAAAGAGTCCCTAATCCTAAGATTATAAATTAATCTCATTGCTCTTTTCTGAAGCACAAAAATCGTTTGTATGTCGGCATCACTTCCCCACAATAGGATTCCGTATGACATTACACTATGAAAGTAACTAAAGTATACTAATCTGGCATTATCTATGTCAGTTAACCTACGTATCTTCATTACGGCATATGGTGCAGAGCTAAGTCTAAAAATAAAAAATCTGTGGTATCCATAAGGCCCATTTTCTTATCTTTTATATTTACATTTATATCTACTTTTTTAACATTAGGTAGTACAAATTTTAGGAATTTTGTTTTTCCTTTATTAAGGAGAAGATTATATACATTAAACCGATGTGCTACTTTAGCGATAGAATTATTCACATCGTCATTTAGAGGTAGCCCTATTTTAATTGTATACAAAAGTGAAGTATCATCCGCAAAAAAACTATTCGTGATTATTCCTTACGAAATAAGGTAAAACATTTATGTAAATTAAAAACAAGAAAGGACCAAGTATTGAGCCATGTGGAACACTCATCTTAACTTTCGATCCAAGGGATATTTTGCCATTTATATCAACCCTCTGCACTCTGTTAGTCAAGTATGAGACCATAAAATCCAATGAGTTATCTCTAAATCCGTAGTTATGAAGTTTCCTAATCAATGTTTCATGAAAAACACAATCAAATGCCTTATTTCTTGTATTAATTTGACACCGGCTTCGGTTGTTGTGCGACCCCTTGTAAAACCAAATTGTTGTTGGTTCATAAGGTGCCAATACTCTCTATATTACAGTTAGCTGCATAAACATACGCAAATATGAAAAATAACTAATACTAGCTATCGACAGTAATTTTTAAACTTATATAGATTTCTTAAAATACATGTAAACACCTTATTTCCCATGTCTATCCATTAAATGATCAGATATCAAAATAAAAAAACTTGTTGTAGAAAAAATATGAAACGTTTTTTTGTCTCCTGTAAAATCGACTTTTTTGTAAATAGATGGTCTTGGTTCTTAAGCGTCGATATCTTGCCTTCTCAGCACGGTTTAGCGAGGTTACTATCTCCTACGGGCACCTCTCTAGCGAAAGTTGGTCAATAAGTTGAGATAATCCCAATCAAACCTTTTGATGTTCTCCCTAGGGTATCTTTTTGCAGTCTCTATGACGCAAACAACAGAAGTATCTTGCACGCAAATAACAGAAGTCTTCCGTCTCTCGATGCTTCGCACGACACTATCGTATAATAAGATCTTAACATTGATGTGGTCAAAGACCTTAGTATTTCTTAAAAAAAGTCCCAACATTTCGTATGCTCGTTTTGAGACATTAGATCTTGTTTTCCTAAGTATCAAGGCGTGTATCCATATTAATATATATTATATTAATAATAATAATTTATCCTCTCTACACAAAATCATGTAGTAATTTTGCAAATCTTCGTTAAAGCAGTAATCCAAAGAGACACGAGAGGCAAATACGTTCCTACATCGGTAGGTTTTCGCCTCACTTACACTCTTTCAGCATTATGATTGGATGACATTCACCGCGCTTCGAAATTTAGCCTTTCGCGCTAGTACTTTGGTGAGCCATGTTAGATGTGTTTTACTGTAACAATTAGTTGATGAAAAATCACTCACTGAAGTTACACAAATGCATGATGGTATGCAGCACGCTGTAGATAGCTATGACTACACCCGTTAGCTTGTGCAGGTAGATATGGTGGTCGAGAGGCAGCACGGCATTGAGCCCGCGCGCGCGCAGCTCCGTGATGCACCGGCGCAACATCAATACCAACACCCACGCACAATTGAAGTTTAAACACTGTCCTGACCAATTAAATCGAATTATAAGCTGCTGATCTCAATATTTTTTCAAAGATGAAACTTCAAACTTTTAGAAAATGTGAGTAATTATAATTATCTTGAAAGCAGTTTTATTATCTAACAAACTATTGAAGTCAGGTGGAAGTTATGTATGGTATGGGTTGGGTTTAGATCAAATGATATAATTTTAATAATTTTACCCGTCTGTAAGAAATATATTTGAAAGTAAATAAATTTATTGTATGCCAGTCTTTATGAGCTTTTAAACGTGTCAAATTTCTCGCAAATTAGACATCTAATTGCAATAACATTTTTAGTTTTGTTTGATTAATTAGCTTTCAACTTAGAGAACAGCATAAGTTTTATCAAAATCAGCTTATTAAATTTTACAAAATTTAACATATTTTAAAAAAAGCAAATAAAAATTATGTATGAAAATATAAAAGTAATGCCTGATTAAAAAAAGCTTGATAAAAGTGAAAAATTGGCAATGGAATGGTAAACGGCTAGTGTTTGAATAACAAATAATTAGGTCTATTGAAAAAAACTCACCACATGCCCTTGCCAATATCACATATCCATTGTGATGTCTATATTCGATTGCTCTCGATACAAATAAGCCGATATTAACAAGAAAAAAAACAGCCAAATAAGAAAGGTAAACATAGTTGTTTTTGAAGTACGGCACGGACAGTTGATATGGCTTCAACTTTTTCATCTTTTGAAGGAATGAGGTTTGCTGGGGAGTTGCTTTTGGAGGCACCAGCCAGCGGTCTATGCTGTGAATAAGAAATTATCAAAAGTTTACTTTTAACAATTTATATTTATTGAATTTCAAACTACGACAATGATATTTGTCCACCGACATCAACCGTGTTACTTATTTATGATTCAACATGGATAAGTCAAACTTCCTACTGTTATGGTGATTGCTAGTAAGTATTTGTATTTCGAATCAGTCGGCCGTATCTTACATATGTATTTTAAACAACTTTCTATAATCTACCTCACATTTAGCTATTGTTTTATTGTTAGTTTTACTTGGTCTAGTTTGTATTTCTCCCAGCTTTATCAACTCACCTGATCGAGAGATTCTCTAGTAACCCGTCATGTTTGGATAGCTGGTTCCTCAGAGCCTCGTAGGTGATCGCTCCTCTATTTTCCGTGTCAGCGTCTTCGATCATTGCGCCAGTTAAATCTAGCAATTGCTCTTCACTGAAGTGCATCGAGTTCTCTTCCATGCACGCCTGCATCACGTGCTGTAGTTCGCGGTGTTGTATTAAACCATCACCTGAATTACCATTTTATTATTTTAAAAACACCTTATCTTCTAATAATTATGTCAGTAAGGTCGTCGTACATTTGTTATTTCCTAATGACTTCAAAGCAGTATAAATATAAGATGCTGTTTTATGCTAATGTTTAATTTAATATTTATTTATTTTCTGTTATCATAATTTAGGTATTTCAATAAATGTATACACTGGTAAAGAGTATTCTGTTTCTCTTTAATACAACTTTTTTTTATCGTTTATTATAGACGAATTTAATTAACATGAATAATGATTAATAAGCAAATTATTATGTCGTCAAAAACAGGTGTAATATATCTTTAATTAACTACCAAAGGTATGCATGCATTTACCATCTAGATCGTAAACTTGAAACAGGAACTTTAATTTGTCGTCAGGAGTTTGTCCAGCAAATCGATGAACTGCAGCGATGAACTCTTGTAATGATATCGCACCGGAGTCGTCTTCGTCGAAGATTTGAAAGACTCGTTCAGTGAAAAATGGCTGAGAAATTGTTTTCAATTATTATATCACATTAAAAGTTCAATTAAATAATAGTCATTAATTCGTGGTTGACGACGACGCAATAATAAATAATACTATGATATATATAATAATTTATTTATTTTCTTCACAAACTTTTTCACTTAAACTGACATCTAAACTAGGCAATAAATTGCTTGTATTTTAGAATATCAGGCCCCCAACCTCGACAGAAATTTAGGCATCTTATATGTTACATCTTGTGTGTGGGTGTGTGTGCGTGTAAGTGTGTATTTATATTTTATATTATTTTGTTATATTTTTTTTGTATCAAGCAAAGGACGTCCTTAGTGACTAAATCTGAAACACTTTGGGGCGACTTCAGGATATTGTTAAAATTGGTGCATAACCTATTAGTAAATGTTGTTTAAGTATGCTCATCAATATATGCAACTACCAAACTATTAGAACCTCAGCCTCTCTGTATGAAGTTGAGGTTAAAAAAACCTGGGTTTAAAAAGGCTTTCTTTGAGTACATTTCTTTGAGTTGGAAAGAGCACTGCGACTAATGTTGCGCTCTTTCCAATTCTATCACTGTTGTTTTCGCGGCACCGCCCCATCATATTATACAATATGATATAACTGATTGAGCCAACGCTGTTTAGACAGATTTCATAGTTTTTCCATCTGTTACATATCTTAATTGGTTGAAAACAATCACAAGTTTTCTAAGTCTCTGAGAGATGTTATATATATGCTTTTGAAAAGTAAGATTTTCATCAATAGTTACACCAAGGTATTTTATATGTTTCAATTTACTTATTGCTTTATAGTGACATGGTGTTAATAGTAAAAGAGAACAATTATCTGCATATATATTCAGATGCTGTGGTAAAGATAATTAACGTATATAGAAACATATATATATTTGGTCTTCTCTGTATTTAGTGTCAAACTGTTTGCATAATACAATAACAATAACTTTAACCAAGGTGTCACGAATATGTTCTTACATTTTTTGACTCGAGTATAGTCTTAAACTGCTCTTTGGTGATCTCTTTTTGATCTCCCACGGTTTGCTTGAAAAGTTGCTCCAGTTGGTCTACGTTACACTGTTCGAAGCCAGCTCGTGGTCTGTAAAATTTTAAATTAATATAAATAACAGTCTATCCCGGCAGGTCTTGTTATGCTTCCATGCAGCCTCTAAACAACTTGAAGGCAAAGATTGTCTTATCGCGCCTGTTTTGCTTTGACTGATGTCAAATGTGGACAGAGTAGTTATATGGGAAAAGAAAATGGTTGCTTTTACTATTCTCATCGTATTTTTTACCTTTCTTTTCCCCCTTATGGACCTTCTACAGACTAAATCAAACACAACAAAAAATTCACCCCAATCAATGCCTTTCTCATTTTTTGCGCTTAGAAACACATTTACCGATTCTATATACTAGATGTTTTCCCGCTACTTTGCCTGCGCAAACTATATAACCTATGTCACCCGCGCATGATGTAGAAAAATACATAAAATCGGTCCAGTAATTTCGGAGTCTATTCAATGCAAACAAAGAAATAAATAAGAATCCAGTATCTCAAAATTAAGGTTTTCACTTCAAAATTACACACAAAGAACACTGATATACAAAGAAATGTTCAATCACTATTTCACTTAGTGAGTGTATAGTCCACAAAATAACTACTGAGCAAAGATCGCTCAGCATCTTAAATAATCAAAACTATCAATGTCCGCGAATCAAGACAAGCTGTATCATAGGTAAAGATATCATCGATACCTGCTACTCGAAACTGTCGATAAGAATGCCATAGCTTCATCCACACTGGCATACCCATCACCATCTGTGTCCAGCACTCGCATTAGTTTATTTGTCACCTGCAATGAGAAACATGTTTATTTTCTTTTTGTTCATTTATGTTGTGAAGAATTCGCCAAGGTACCACAGTGACTAACATTTTATTTAACTTGTAGGGTATATTACTTGTAATGTTTGTTCGTCAAATCATGCTTATATGAAGAGTTTATAATCAGCTGATGCCATGTTAGTTGCTAATAAGGAAAGACAATGAAGAATAATCGCAAATTTTTTATTTAATAAATAAATATCATGTCAATGGTAGATAGATTTCTCACAAATCTCACTGAAATGAGTTACTTCAAAGGAACTGAAAAGGATACCTTACTCAAGAATGATATAACGACGGCCTCATCCAATAAATGTGCTATTGAAAACAGTCAACTTTAAAGGAAAAAAACGGTATTTTGAAAGATCTCGAAACCCTTATAAATATGTTTATACAATGTTTAACAAAGTCAAAGAAAAAAAAGATGAACTTTTGATAGAAGATATGATTAATATGAAAACATTATTAAAAAATCAGAAATTTGCGAAAAACCATTTCATTTCTATATTCTAGTACAGCTGATAACAACTGCAACAGCATTTTGCACCCTTATTCGTCTAAAAAGTACAGAGCTGGATCAAGGTAAATCCACATTACCATGATTATGGTAGTAATTTTTTGTCCAAAGTTTTTTATACCAAGAATATAAATAGTTTTGACAATATCATTTTGCTGTGGAATCGTTATTGTACTCATAATTTATAAGAAAATGCCTTGGAAAATTACCTATATTTTTCTCTATCTTTTATTTTCTACATAGATTGTATCATAGAAAATTACAACAAAAATGATCAACATTATTTGGAGGAGGATAACACCACCTAAAAAGCCCTTCCTCCATCTCCACGACGATCGGTCCCAGCAATGGTAGTTACTTTTTCAGTCCATCTTAAGGCAGGAATTCTTACGCTCCGTTTTCTAGTCCGTGGTCGCCACTCGAGGACTTTACTGTCCCAACAACCCAGATAGTTGTAATGAGCTATGTCTCGGCCCATTACCACTTCAGATTTGCAATTCACTTTGGTTGACTGCGAATCTCCTCATTTCTGATTCTACCTCCCAGAGAGACTCCGATCATAGCCCTCTCCATTTCTCTCTTAGTCATTTTGAGCCTATTTATAAGGCTATTGGTAAGAAACTATTTCTTAGTGTCATAAAACATCACTGGTAATACACAGTGGGTAAAAACCTTTATTAAGAGGCACTACGGTATTCGAAATGACGCTTCGGAATTTTACGACCGCTGCCCAAACGAGTTAGATTGGATGAGATTTCCAAAGCCTCAGCCATGATTACTATATTAAATGAAAATCTAAGATGAATGATATAGCAAGTATATTTGATGTTGATTCCTAGTATTTTCCAGTACAGAAGCATAAAGACGTCTTCCAATGCAGCGGTGAAGAGCTTCGCCGATATGACATCATCTTGCCTAGCACCAAACTGCAGTTTATACAACTTCAAATTCTGATTACGGAGGTGAACCGACATAGTGGCGTTTTCATATTCAGTATTTCGATATAACGATGTTGATAAAATTGTTTGTGGACTAGAAAAAAACTTTTAGATTATATAGCATACAGTATGTACGTGGACTATGGTGCTAAAGCCTTTTTGGGAACTGACTGATTGACTGTCGTCAAACTTATTTCAAGACGATTTGTGATGACTCCTGAAAAAATTTGTAAACGATATGCGATACAGGCCTCAAAATTTTCAAGAGATAAAATCATCACTTTTTCATAAGAACTGGACTTGTGTGACGAGCCTGATGCGTTCTACCATCGTAGATGATATAAGGATTTTAGCACATGCATTCCACCAATATTCAACTGCTCGGCTATGATTCTATCCTCACTCGGTGCCTTGTTGTGCTTAATTTACTTAGAGCCACACTTAAACTCTGTCGGTGTGTTTTCCTCGGTCTGAATGAGGTTAGGCACAACACGATATTGTAGTAGGTACAATAGTAATAGTTTTAACTTGCCCTTATTACTTAACCAGTTCGAATATTCCTATAACATGTTGCTGTAGTGAATGATTATTTAATTTAAGTACAAGTACTGTAGACGTCCTGAACAAGTGGTAGGGGAAAAAAAAATTTTTGGACGATTCAATAGTGCTTGTAATACCTACTTGAATAAAGATATTTTCATTTCATTTCACTCATTAAGTAACCTGCACTCTCTTTACACATTATCACACAATTCAGTCTCAGACATGTAGGGGAGACCTAGGAGAGTTGTGACAATTTTTACATAAGGGGCTCTATCTCGCTTAAGAAACATTCCACAGTTATGACTCATGTGAATTAGTTTAGCGCCATTCCTTCTGTTTTCAAAACCATCACTAAAATTAATTAAAGTATAATAGTTTCTGAAAAAAATAACAAAATTCAAGTCCACTCCCCTTGTCACAACTCTCCTACCACCGAGGTAAGTTGTGACAGGTACCGAGGTAAGTTGTGACATCATTGTATTTAAGCTATAAGATATAAAAATACCATTACATACGACATAAATAAATCAAGCACGTTTTTTTTTATCTAATCAGTACTATAATAATAAATTTGACTTGGAAAACACACACTGAACATGTTTGCAAAAAGTTGTCCCAGTATTCTTGTGCACTGTACAAACTTAGTAGGATCGCGAATCAGTGCACGGTCCTTACAGCTTATCACGCGTACGTAGTTTCTACTGTTCGATACGGTTATATGTTATGATTATATTTTGGGGATATTCGACTGATTCTGTAACTGCCTTTAAAGCCCAGAAAAAATGTGTTAGGAGCATATTTTATTAAACTAAATATTATGACCCTGCCATCAATCTATATATTCGAAGTTGGTATTTTTGTCAAACAGGATCAACAACTATTTGAAAATAAGACGAGATTGCGTCATCGAGACAAATTGTGTACGATACCCTCTAAGACAGCTCAGTTGAACAAAAGTATCTTTTGTATGGCTCCAAAAATTTTTGATAAAATTCCAAAAACAATACGTAATCTGGATAATTGTAATGTTTTTAAAAGAAAACTTTATAAATTATTAGTAGCTAAAACATATTATAGTGTAAACGAGTATCTAGCTGACAGTACTTTGTAAATGTATAAATACTTAATGAATTAGTTGAATTTTTGACATAACATGTTATTGATTAGATTAGTTGACAATTACTAACCTACAAATATTGTATGCTTTTTAGGCAGATCACGGTGTAACTATTCAGTCCTTGCATCCAATATCTTTATATAACCTGCGATCAACAATAAAGATTGATTTGATTTGATTAATCATCTTTTAATACCTACCAACTAAAACAACATAGTATTAATATTAATACTACAATAATATGATTGATCTCAAAGCGATACAATATTTAGTTAATGAAAATATTATAATTACTTGTTATGAGAATATTCTCATCAGTATAAAATCTTAATCTAATCAGATTCACATTTATGCCAAACGTAATGAAGTTCGTCCCCAGTACAATCTAACTGTGCCTAGCCTTTGCATTCCAGGCTTTGGACCCACTGATCATTCGATCTGCTGTCTGCATAGGCTTCAAGGCAAACCAAATAAAAGCAATTATTTTCTACATCTTCTTCATCACTTGTTCTATTCTTCTTATTAGTCTTCTTTGCTTTTTTAGGTTTCTTTTTTTTTCTTCGCTTAAGACACGCTTCTTAACATTCTTAGATTTTCAGTCTCTCGTGTATAGTTATTTGGTATTCTCAAAAAAATAAGTATGCGGTATGCCATTATACACCTTAAGTAGCTACTAACACACCAACAAACATCTAAAGTTAATAAAAAAAATGTAAAAATAGCCCAGCAGAAATTTGGAGTAAGTTAGGAGAGTTGTGACAGGCTGTCACAACTCTCCTAGGTGTTCAAAATGACGTCTTGGTCCGAATAATAATTCATATTTTCTAAACACGATGCGCATACAAAAAATCAGTGCCACGTATTGAGACTTAAATAACTACATAACTTAAGAAAAAATAACACATCAATGCACATATACTAAGATATGATATATATTCAAATAATATTTTGAAGAAAAACTTACTTTTCGTAATTTTTTGTACACTGACGATATATTTACGCAACTGTGCCACATGCACCGTCGACAGGTACTGAGTCGTGTAGCGCGTGTCGAGAACGACAAACAAGCGTTAATGCCATCTCGCTTACTATAATACGTAGAGAGAAATCCTCCTTGTCACAACTCACCTCTGTCACAACTCACCTAGGTCTCCCCTACATACGATATTTTAAGCGTATTATGTTCATTTGCGAATTGTGATTCATATAAGAAAATGGTTGCTCAATTTACATATTTAGTACAATAGTTTGTAAATTCTGCAAGGATCTTTACACTGTAATTTATACTCTCACACGAATAAACGTCCAAAACCGCATTACAGTTTTAAACACTTAAAATATTTCAGTATGCAACTATATACGCTTATTCGTGTGCTAACTAGTACGCTTGAGAGTTATTGCGTTATACTAAAATTCGGGCTATGAATCAAATTGATAATTCCCTACAACGAACATTTATGTTACTACAACTTTGAAAATATTCGGCTTAGAGACAATTTACATCGAATTGTGCAAAAAATAATTCGTGTAACAGCTCTTTCTCGTTTATTCGATGCGGCCGTCGATAAGAAAGATGACATTAACTCACCACTTTGTTCCTCCATACTTGTGCGAAAGTCGCCATGTTAACGTCTCCGCTGCCGACCAATACGTATGCCACGCTTTCTACCTGCTCAATGAAGTCCA